CACAAAAATCAACCGCGTTCACTTTGTCTGTATGCCCGCGAAATCTACCCACATATTGAAGCGTTTCCGCGTTTAATAATATAACATCGTTCGAGGAGGCATAAGCAAATAAATTTTCTTCTAAAGATAATGAAGCAACTTTTGAAGAATTCCAATTTGGGGCAGGTGGTAAGCAATTAAAGACTTTCATGGTTAAATTATAGTTTTTCAAAAGATCAGCATAGATTTTATTGGTTAATTTTCTTTGCCAAATTATTATGAGGCGAAGTGAAAAATCTTTTGTATCTAAAAATTTTACCTATGAAACTACTTCGTATGTTCTAACAGCTAATGAAAATTGTTCCTTACAAAACTTTACTACAGGCTACTAATACTAATAAGCACATTCTAATACTAACCATAGACAATTAACAATGATTGTTTAAAAATTTCTTTTACCTAACGAAAAAACGTGATGTGGCGAGAATTCATAATATAATACGTCTAAATATCTTTACTGCGCCTGTCACCATGATAGCCAATTAAATATAACTGTATGACTAGAGTTTACTATTAACTCATTGAAAGTTAAATATTAAAACAAATTTATGGCGAAAGGAAGTAACAGTAATCGAGAATCTGAAGACCGTAATGAGGAAGGGAGAAATGGTAGAGGAATTCGCGAAGGGATTGTTAATGGACATATCAAGAACATAAGAAGGGAAGCTGGTGGAAGAGATCAACGCTCACGTGGAGAAGGAAGTAATGGACGAAGACGCGAAAGAAAACTGAAGGTACATTATTCTAATGTTTTCTTTTAATTAAATATATTTACGAGAATTTTCAACATTTAGTTTTTTTTACAATGTGATTGACTTTCAGGATTCTTCTTCAGGGTCGTTGACGACACCAACTCCAGATCACCTTTCGAAAACTTTCTATCAGACACCTATTATCCTTGAACGAAGACCACAAACATCTAGTGGTTCTACTTTACAGGCTTCAGATAAAGTCGACGAAGAGAGCACTCCACAAACAACTCTTCAAACGTCAGTTCGTATATTTCGCGACGATTCTTTTAATCGCGCATCTTCAGCTAATGCACCACGCGTTGAACCTAAGCCAGTAACTTTTAAAGGAAAGCCATTCGACAAGCCCTTTATAAAAATGATAAATGAGAAGGGTATACTTAATCATGATTCTGTCTTAAAGGTTAGATTTTAAATAAATGTCAAAAATTTAAATATATAGTTTTAGTAAAAGATTATTTATTGATATATATTAAAAGATTTTAAGTGATCTTCCTGGACATTTCGTCGTTGGAGTATGTGGACCTCAAGGAGTTGGAAAATCTACAGTTATATCTGCATTATGTCAAGATCCACAGAATGTATGGCCAAATATTTTATTCTTAAAAATTTAAATTTATCGATAAAATAGTGAAAAATAATTATTTTTTACCTTTTTATATTAGGCATTCCCTATGCAATCAATCGATACACTAAATTTAGCAAGCCATGAAACTATAGGTATTGATATTCACATCACACCTGAAAGAATCATACTTTTAGATACTCAGGTATGATATTATTAGTATATTTATATACTCAATATGAATTATTTCTAAAAATCTTTTTTTTTATTTCTAGCCTGTCTTCAGCCTATCTGTTCTCGAACATGCGATGAGGAATGATTATATTCCTGATAATTTATCACCCGAATTATGGCTTGAGCTACAGGTCAGAATTTTAAGGACTTCTACTTAAAAATTAAAATCAGAATTTATATACTTATTTATAAGGCTTTTTTCGGATAGTCACTTCAAATTGTTATCTTTCTTTTTTCGGTTTGCAACGTTGTTATTAATGTCACTGAGGGTATAGATTACACAATGTGGAATTTTTTAAAAAAAGCCGAAATGCTTAAATATCATATACCAGAATTTCCTACTATACCGTCATTAGCATCAATGGATCCTGGTATTGAATATTATCCTGATATTGGTAATTATTTTTCCTTTATAATTATCATTATTTATTATCATTATTTATAATATTTCTTCTGACAATATTCCATGCGCACAGTATTGGTATGTAATAAAACTTTGCCCGCGGATTTTACATCAACTAAACACATGACTATCTGTGATTTATTGAATAAAATGTTTCAAGATTCAAATTTGAAAATTTTTGGTAATATATATTTACATCTCAATATTTAAAAATTTTTTTACTTATACATTTGACTTCATCTTACGATTAGGGACTGTCTCTATGTCAGAGTCAGTGGTAACGTTTAGACATCCGGATAATAATCAACGATTACCAAATCTCTTTCTTCTGCCCTACGAAAACAACCCTCTACGTCCCAAAGGGGAATATTCTGGATTTACTTATGTAAATGCACCTGATACATTTACCGTCTTGGTAGAATCTTTGAGAAATCGAATATTTCAATTGCCAAAGAAGGCTGGTAAAAAAGGCCAGGTGTCTGAAAAAGAATGGTATATTAATAATTAATTTTCATTTATAATTTGCCGGTATTTGGAGTGCCTGCTGCAAAGTCGCGAGTTTGCATCTTTTCCGACCATTTGCGACTTTTGCGACACTTTTTGCTGCAAAAAAAATGTAAGATCGCAGAGTCACAAGATCGAAAGTTCTATGTAATTATCGTTATTAATAAAATTAATAGCAAAATTAATGTAATATATGTAATGTAGATTATGCGTTTACTTTAAATTTAATTATATCATACTATATTATAAAGTATAGTATATTATAATATTACATTACAGCATTACGATATTATATTTTATTGAGACTTTGCGATATTATACTTATATTTATAGCAATATTACCGGTATTGTTATATCAATTTTAAAATTTTGCTTTTGTTCGATTGCAGGTTTCGAAGCTCAATGAGAATTTGGGATATCATTCGAAAATCAGAATTTATTACTGATTATGGAAGACTTGCGGCAAAATTGAGAGAGATGTGATTCTATATATTTTATCCACATCGATTTGTGTAATCAAAGTGAGATTTTACTTAATAGCAGAGATGCAAAAGGCTGGCTCGGCTCGGCTCACGGCTTACATTAGTCAAGCTAAACTGATTCTTTGGCTCTACAGGCTAGAGCTGAGCCATTTGTGAGATGAGCAATTTTAAAATAGAGCTAATCTGTGGCTCTAATTTAAAGAGGCTATATTATATTCTTAAGTGATACGTCACTATACCTATTAAATGTTAAGTTGGTTCTATGTACTAGGAAGTGAGAACCGTTAAGTGTTTAGAGAAAAGTTCGAATCTCTGAACAACTAAATGTTTTTATATATCAATGGGTAAAATTTGTTATTTTTAATTTACCAATTTCCTTTGCTGCTTTTGAATAGCATTTTTTTAAATAGTATCTTTAATTCTTTCACAGAAGCTTCATTCTCTGCTTTTGCATCTTTCGAAGTCCCATTATTATTATTTTATTTTACTCTATTTTATTGTTTCTTTTTTTTTATTAAGCAAAATATTACGATTTAAAGTATTAAACTTGTGGTTTCATGCCTTTATTGTAAAATTTGTATTTACAAAAATTTAAAGTACACATTTGACTAAGTAGGTGTTTTGACACTATAACAGTACCCAAAATTAAAGTTGCTTACCGCCGATCTATTACGACATATAGGCCGTAATATAGTATTTGATTGTAATATTACAGCTTGTTAAAATAATTATGCAAATGACATAATGCAGGTGTCTAAAAGCAAGGAAGATGTCCGGTCGAAATGGTTTAAAAACCATACAGATAGCATGCGGTGATCGTTGACATGTTCTCGCAGGCAAATTTGACTGCGGATTTTCTTTTTTTTCAGCGGATCATAAGTAGACCAAATCGTCAGAAATTGATGCTCGTACTGTACCACATTAAGAGAGAGCAAAATAACCTCCTAGTATACCCCTAAAAAAAGTTACGTAACTGAGTTTAAATTTTCTCCAAAGTCCTAGGTTTAAAATTAAGAGTATGCTTCTTTCGCTTCGCTGAATATTAGCGAACTTATGTTGAAAATCTACTTAAACTACAATTTGGACGTGAACTTTGAATAATTTGGTTATATAACTTATCTAAGGTGCAATATAAAGATAAGCAAAATCTCTAATATATATCTTCGCAAAGTATTCAATATGTGTATTGATTTTACACTATTTATGCTCGCAAAAAAAAAACTATATTTACTATGAATTTTTTCATTTTCTTTCGTCGGTTTGAATTTATTCTTTCTTGTTCAAAACATTTGTAAATTTTTTCTTTCATATTAACTTTTGCAATACTTCAATACTTGAGTATGTGTATTATTGTAATCAACAATTAGAATACAAGTGAGCTTGGGTTGGGTTCACTCCGGAGTTACTCCGGATTTAGGGTTGCTCCGGTTCACTCCAGTTTACTCCAGATTTTTGAGCATATATTTAACTTGGATTGGGTTGAAATTATAACGAAAAGTGACATATTTTTAGAGGGTGGAATCACGGATGTAAGGTCTGTGACGAATGTAATCATATTCACATATATATTGTAAAACGTGTAAAAAAAATAGCGGATAGATATACAGTACGTATCGGTATAGGCAATTAGGGATGTTAAATTGCGAATCCAGTCCGGTCCGATCCTAGGATCTAAAAAGACAGTCCTGGACTCGATCCTTTAAATCACATGAAATACAATACATTTTATAGGACTTAGATCCTGTATCAAGTCCATCCAATCAAATTAATTTTGTATTGTTATAATAATTCAATTCAGGATGTGATTTAAGGACTGAGTCCTTACCAATCCTGCAGGTTCTTGTAAGGACCGGTTAGGATTCGGTCCCAAAAGACCGATTAACATCCCTAGGTCCCATCACTAACTCATGCCACATATGTTCCAACTACGGAAGAAACACTTGTTTTAGAAATGATCATCACACCAATTAAAATTAATTTCCAACATTCTTTGTTACGCTTCAACGCGTCTTGATTTTTTAATAAATATGTATATAGTAACTACACCAATTTCTACTTCATCCAAGATATTAGAAGAAAAAGCAAGCATCTTGGAAGAGCTGAATCGAAAATATAGCACAGAACAACTTATTGAGTATTTGAAGGGATGAAAACAAGTCAAAGAAACAAATGAAATAATCATTAAACAGAAATTACTTAAGATGCATAACTTAGAGTTTTCAAATTGCATGTATAGGAGCTAATTTATGTACCTGTTTTGTAGTATACTTATTAGAGTTTTCTTTATAATAGTAGTCGAAGAAATCCAAAAATGGGAAGCTTCTTATGCAATATATTTCGTGATCTTCCTTCCAGAGGATTGGTCATATAATCATTATATTTCATGAGCAGATAAAAATATGAACAAGGCAATAATCAATCGTACATTTTACAAAACTTAGAAATCATAAACAATGATCAAAATATTTTGCAGGGAATTCATAATATTATTCAAGGATTTTTGAAAAAAAAAGTAAGTTTTGAAGTATATTTCAAATAATTTTTTTGAGTGTGTTTAGGATGGTGATTTTTTGTTAGACTTCTTGTGCTCTTGATGGCCATGTCCCAGAAAGGGATAACTGTGAGTAGTTGAATTGGATATGCATCTTGCTAATTATGTCTTAGCATATGCTATATAGATATGGTCAGAACCCCAAACAACTTTTTACAAATTATATTCACTTTTATTAGAGCTATTTAAAGAAAAAATTTTAACAACCCAAAAATTCTTTTTTTATAACTCTAATACGAAAAAATGACAATATTTAACTTTATTTTTGTATAAGTTATCTAATCAACAAATATAACTTTTTTTTTTTTATCTCTTTTTTTTTTTTTTTTTGTATTATGTTATTTAAAATTTCAATATAACATTTATGTATACAATATTATTCAGATCTTGTATGATTTTCTGCATCTGGCTATTCAGGGTTTTTGTAAGAGGTCTACTAACTTCTAAAAAAGTTGATTATGTATCTTCTTCTTAATCAAGAAATTTCAGAACTTTCAAGTTGGAATTAGTGTATATTGTTTTGTATAATTTTTCTAATATAATAAATTTTTTTTCTTATTTTTTTATAAAGTTTGATGTAAATAAATTAGCTGAAGAAAAACTAAAAAATATAGATTATACAGATACCAAAGTCATTAAAAAAGTAGAGAAAGAATTTGAAAATTTGAATACTATTCTTATAGAACTTAAAGATACAAATGCTAGAGTCATGAAGAATAGAACTTTTCAACTGAAAAATCGAATACTAATCTTAAAATACTCAAAGAAACTCTTCTAAAGTTTTTTAAGTTATAATCAAATTTCTCATTATCATCTGCATCTGAAGTAGTGTTGCAAGCTATTGCTAAATTATTATGCAAGAAAATCAAATTCCAGAATTGTGTTTAGTAATTAATAAAAATAAACCAAAGAAAGATAGTAGATTCAGTTTTATTGATCTCATTTTTGGAGGCTTAAATTTTTTAGTAATAGAATTAAAATATATTAATCTTTTAAGTTTAATAAAAGCAATTAATAATGATTAGAATTCATATTTAAGTACAAATAATTTAGTCTCTCTTGATAAATATATTGAAAATGAAGATGAAAAGATACTTTTAAAACTAAAATATATGTTTTAGTTAAAAAAAAATAATAAGCCAAATCTCACAACATTAAATGATATTTTATTTTTTGCAGATAATCAACTTAAAAAATATATAAATGTAATCATATATAGACTAGCTTAAAATAGTAAACTAGGTATTATAGATTCTCAAATTCTTATAAAATAGTAACCTAAAGATTGTAGTATTTTAAATAGTTATATTATTATGATAATTAGTTTTTGATATCTTGTATCTAGATTTGTTAAATCTTAAAATATTCATTTTAGTTTTATTAAAAAAATTAATTCTTGTTAGTTTAGTTCTATTATGATCTATTCATTCTTATTAAATTTTGAAATAAAGAGTTACTGAATAGAATTTTGCTTTTGAAAATTAGTAAAAGATATTTGTTTTTTGATATTTTATTCTATCTATATAGTTAATATATAAAGATGTAAACTGTGAATCTGGTTTAATTTAATCTTAGAATCTAATTAAACAGTTTTAGACTTATTATAAAAAACTAACTATAATACAAGCTAAGTAGAAAAATATGCAACTCATACCTACTAAGAAGAAATAAGATACTAGTATTTCTTTGCTGAAAAATTCAAGAGTTAAAGAAATTAAAAATGATAATAGTAGGTTCAATAATCTACAAGTTAGAGAGTTACAAGCAAATTCAAATATTGTATTTATTTTTTTTCTGTATTAATAAAATTTTTTTGTAAATAAAATTTATACAAATTTTTTAGTATTTTTACAGAATATTAAATAATTTATATCTCATATAAAAATATTTAACATAATATCAGATCTTAAATTATTAGAGCAATTTATTATAGACCTTGAAGCTGAGAATACTGAACTTCAGGCTGAGAATACTGAGATTTCTAAACTTAGAAAGAAGTTTACTGAAGTTAAAGCTAAGAATGCTAAACTTGAGACTGAAAACTTCAAGATTAAAGCTAAAATTAAAAAGCTAAAGACTGAACTTAAAAGTATAATTGAAAGTTGAAAAAAAGTAAAACAGATACTGTTGTTGAGAATACTAGATATAATATTGAGAGTAATAAGCTTAAGACTAGAGTTGCTAAATTAGAACAAAATTCTAGATAGCTACAAAATGATTTACCTTTTAAGAAAGTTTTTAATGTACTAAAATCTGTAGCAGTTCAGCTTAAGAAGTATATTCTTTTTAGAGAAACTATAAAACTAGAAGTATTATCAAAAATAACTGTAACTGCTAGTATTTCACTTTGCAATAAGGATGAAAAGACTAATGAATTACTAGATTTGATATAAAAGAAAAATATTAGTGATAGGATAAGATATAAAAAGTGGAAGAAAAAGCTTCAACTAGTGATACAAACTGATTAACATTTAACTAATTAACTGATTAGGATAAACTAAAATAGTTAAACAACTAAAAATTAAGGTTAACTAGCTAATCCAGTTGATATACATAAACTAGATTTGTATTATTTCACTGATAATAATTTCACTGAAAATATAAACCTTAACTCTAAATTAGGTAGTAAAATAATATAGTTAGTAAAATAAGTATCAATAAATAAATACTACTCATATAAAACTAGTAACCTACATAATCATAATTCAAAAATAAGAGTAATTATTCAAGTTTTGATTGTTTATGATTTTACAAAGATACAATTATCTTTTATTATTTGTTTTTATTATAATATAACTAATCACTTTACTAAATTTTTTCACATTTATTTTTAGTAACAATCTTTGTTCTATTTACAGTATATTTAATTGTTTATTCAATTTTATAAATTAAATGCAATAACTATGTCTGATTGAATCACAAATAAAATTAGACCTGTTAAAAAAATTTTATCAAGATCATCAATTTGCCTTTTGATTATATAGATATTCAAATATAAAAAAAACCAATTGCATAATGCAAAAATTCTTTGTTTTGGCTGATTCTGATAGTATAAATACTATCTTTCTTATCATTCTTGTCTTTCTTATTATTCTTGTCTTTCTTATCATCTTTGTCTTTCTTATTATTCTTGTCTTTCTTATCATCCTTGTCTTTCTTATCGTCCTTGTCTTTCTTATCATTTTTGTCTTTCTTATCATCTTTGTTTTTCTTATTATCCTTGCAGCTAACAATTATTGTATTTATAGAACAATATAATAGTACAAATTAGTAATTGCTATTACTAGAACTCTTAAACATTTTGTAAATCAGCATTCAAAAAATTCCAAAGTAATATTGTTTTAAAATAAAAATTTGACATCAATAATCTTTTAAAAAAGTTAATAATATACATAATACTTAGCCCAAATTCTATTAGATCTTTCTATTTATATATCTTGATATAATTGATCTTATAGTTTAAATTTTCATATATAATATATAAATATATAATAAAAGTATATAGAGCTCAAAAAAAAAATTGAGAAATAAAAAAAATATATTTATATCTAATATTGAAAGTTAATCAGAAAGTGAGTAAAACTTACAAATCTTAATTTTTTTAAAAAAAAAGAAATGTAAAATCACTTCAAAATATTAAAAATATTTTATTCAAATAGAAGAAAAAACAATATGCTAGTTTAAGATTAAAAAAGGCAACAAAGAATTAATTTGTGGAAAAGTATTTAAATATTTATCAAGAGGATCAACATCTAATATAAATTTACATTTTGTTAATGAACATAATTTAGTTAAATTTCAAAAAGATAAAAAGGTAAACTAGTTAAACTTATTTAAAAAAATATTATATATGAGTATTGCTAAGAGAAATGTAACTTTGGTTTTTTTTCTGATTTAGCTCTTTGAATCGATAATACATCGAACTTTAAATTATATAAAATTTTGAACAAACCCTTGAAAAATTAGATTAGTGATATATTTTTATTTTTTTTTATTTTTTTTATCTTGAGTGATCTTACTCATCATTTATTCAGAGAAATATTAAAATGATATATAGATACAAATTATAAAAAGTACTAAAACTAAACTATAACTATATCTCTCTATTTACAATTCTAGATTTATTCAGCTGCTAGTTAGTACCTAGATGCGATCTGCTACAGAAGCCAGTTTTCTTCCTGCAGTAACTCTTCTTGAAAAAGATATTATCCTTAGATCAACAAAGGCGACTTCAAGCCTTATCAAGATTCTAGATCTCTTATAACCTAATTAACACTAAGCTACAAGTAGTTAATACCTAGTTTCAAGATAAAAAAAATAAAAATTGGTACTAGTCTAAAAGCGCTAAGCTTACTAACAAAGAAAAACTTGTCTCAAATTGTAAAAACTTTGTTAGGCAGTAATATAAAAAAAGAGCCAGAATACAAAAAGAACTAAAAAGATAACCAAATACTCTATAACCTGAGTTAGGCTTAAAAATTTTAAGTTGTGCAACTTGTAACCTATCTCAAGAATTTCTCTTTCTAATGTATAATCTAATTTCAGAATTTAAGACTTGTAGTACTGAGTTCACATAACAGACTAAACAATAAACAAAGTACATAACTCTATAGAAACAAAGTATATGACTTTGCCAAACAGAGTATATGGCTTTGTTTACTGCATGAAGTTGCATATCTACAGAGTTTTTCTAAAAATGGAAGAAGTAAACAATACTGATCTTTTGGAGAGAGAAACCTAGATTCTCTACTTTTTGTTGAAAATAAGGAAGACTGAAGCAAAAAAGCTTGCAATATATTGTAGTTTTCTAAGTTCCAAAGGAGTATGTAGACAAAATAATTTATTGTTCCTCTACTTCATAAGTCTTCTTTTACCAACTTTATTAACAAAGAGTTTCTTTTCTATCTCTTTACTAAAATTTTTTATACAAAGGCTCTACCTGTCAGTTATCTTGTATAATATCATTTTTAGCTTATATGTTAAATATATAGAGGAGTCTCTAATAGCAGTAGTTAACCTCTATAAAAACTGTTGTATTGTAAAAGAGCTTTCTTCTTCATTATCTCTAATAAATTTTTGTTTTGGCTTTTTTGGATTTTTTAGAAAAAAAGATCATCAGAAAAGTTTTATATAAGATTAGTAATATATTAATAATATATCACTAATTAAATTTTTTAAAGGTTTTATTCAAAATATCATATAATTTAAAATCTGATATATTATTGATCAGAAAGGCTAAATCAGAAAAAAAAACCAAGTTATATTTTCTTTTAGCAGCACTTATATAATAATTAGTAGTGTTTCAATCCGTAATTTAAAATCTGAATTAATCTTAAATCTAGATAAATTCAGCTATTCAAATCAGAGATATTTACTAAGATTAGATAAAGAACTTAAATAATAAACCTAAAGATGCATTCAAAAGTTAGTTTTAATATATAATCTGAAACAGATTTAATCTGAATTTAATATAATCTGAATAGTCTGTCAAAAATAGGATCAAAACACTAATAATTAGTATATAAATTATTAACTATATATTGAAAAATAATTATAGGTAGATAATAAAGCTTCAGGTTCTCAATAATCTATTATAGATATGCTATAACATATAACTCCTCCTCATAAAGGAGCTAAAAAAACTAACTTTTACAGAGTAGTAACTGAATAGCTTGTTATTGATAATCGTCTACTTGATATAATTAATAGTGAAAGTTTCTGTTAATTTATGCTTCAGATTGATTCTACTTTTCATTAACCTTCCTATAAAGTATTAAAAAAAATATATCATTCAGAAATACAAATGCAAAAGAGCAAATATATAATCTTTTAGAAACAAGTTGTGAAACTGTTTCTTTAACCATAGATCTTTAGACAGCAAGAAATAAAACAGGATATATTGGTGTTACAGCATATTAGTTAAATAAGCAATTTAAATTAAATGAGATATTACTTTGTATAGAGCTAATAATATATCCTTATACTAGTGTTGCTATTAGAGACTTTCTAATTAGTAAAGTTCAAGAATTCAATTTGCAAAATAAACTTACTTGTGTAGTAACTGATAATGGTATTAACATGGTTTCAGCTATTAAAAATTAGAATAATATAGAGAGATTACTATATGTCATATATATATTATAGTTAACAGTTAATCATATATTAGGTAAGTATTATTCTCAAATCCATCGAATTCACAAACTAGTTAAATTTTTTGACTCATCTAAGCAAAGCCAAAGGTTAGATTTAGTATAAATAGAATTGTATAAACAAAATAATTTAAATGAAACTTTTTTAAATCCAATTCTGCCTTCTAATGATTTTGAATATGATAGTTATTCTAAAAACTCTGAAGATGAAATAAATAATGATTCTTATTTAATAGAAGCTAAAGAGTTTGTTTCTACTTTAAGAAATATAAAAGATATTTCAACCTGTTAGAATTCTAAATATAAATCATGAAAATGATTAATAGAATTACAGTCTGCAATTAGATAGCTTGTAGCAATATTACCTTTAGGTGATTCAAATATAGCAAAAGATAGTCAAAAATTATAACAATTAATATTAAATAAGGCAGAATAGAACTTTGTTTAAAAAATACTTGAGTTATTAAAGCCTTTCAATAGTACTACTGAATATTTTAGTACTACTGTTACAAGTAGTGTAGCCTTCTTAATACACCCCAAGTAATATAAGACACGGAAGGGGGACTCCTAACGATGTCAAAGTGGAATGTTACATCACTGTGGCAGTTTGTTAGAGAAGTTTATTTTTAAAGCCAAAAGATTATATGTATTAAAGAACTAATAGAGAACTTAAAACTTTATTTAGTATTGTATTATTAACTACAAGACTATTTTACTATTTATTAAATAGGAGATTGTAGAGGACAAATC